CTCTTGTGCTCATGCAGTGGATAAAACAAAAATTAAATACACAAGAAGCTCTATACAAAGAAGATCATGATGGAACATAATATGGATTTGGAAATGAAACATGATTAATGAAGATACTAAGCCGGATACTAAGAAGCCATACCTTTGGCAAACACTATGCTTTCCTCAAAGCTTGGATCCTCTCCTCTTCTCTTCTTCTCCTCCAAAGACCAAACCAAGGGTTCAAGGAAAAATCCCCTCTAAGGTATTGACACAAATAATAGGATACAAGAAACTCTTGTCATCAAAATCATATAGTAGATAGAGTTTAATCGCATACACTAGAGGGTTTAAGCTCTGGTGATTTTCAAGGTGTTTTTCTTTCCTTTTCTTGTTTTCTTTTAAAAAACTGTCCACTTGGAAACCAATATTTGCTCTCAATTTCAGTTCGGTTAGAACAAATGGAAAAGGAGAAAAATTCACCTTTTATATGGTAGAATGGGGAGGATTTAAATGGCAGTGTTGAGGAAAATCCTAGGTTTTTGTTCTTCAAACCTTGGCCGTGGTGAGAATCATATTTTGATTCTATCATTGAAATGGCAGCAAGAGTTTCTCCTTTTAATTGTCCTACTTCTATTGTATAATAGATATCCACTGTAGCGACCTTCTTTCTTTCTAAAAGAAAAGCCTTGTTACTTTGTTTCTTTCTCCAAAAAAGAATTCTCAGAATGATTATTTTCTAAATAATCATCCTAATGACTTAATTTGTTTTTTTTCTAATAAAATAACATCTAATTGTAATACTTTTAGTTTTTTATGATCTTATGATCCACTTGCAATATTCACTATTGATTTAATCTCTATTAAATCAATGAGTTCTTGATCTTGTTTTCAAGTACAATTTTTGTATGTGTGTGACCATTTAGACTCATTATCAAATGCCAACAACTTTCATCTCTTTGAAACTTGAATTCCATGAACAGTGCTAACAATACGCCCATGAATGACACATGTGACGATGATTCATTGTGGAACATTTTTCTTATGAATCCTACCAAAAGCAAACCTTTGCATGAATAATTAAATCTTTCCATCAAATTGAATGGAGACACGAATTATATGTCAAACTTCACGTATATCTATTACTGCGTAAAATCAATTGGTTAACTTGATTATTTGAATACAATTAGAGACTCCTTTCTAATTAATTTTACTTTTGGCTAAGAAATTTTTATTTGATCAAGTGTCTTTAGTCACATAAAACCTACTTTCCCTTATTTTGGAGTAATAGGTCTGGTTCTCGTCCAAGAACCATATCTAATGACTATCTCTACAAAACAATTTTGTGACTGGAACACTCATGGGGTGACTCTTGATAACGTTTAAGTTGAAGGACTAACTTTTTACCTACTATAAGATCCAAGCTTGACAAGTAACTAATGTTCCATGCTTGGGACCCATGCGGACCAGTTCAGTAAATCGTTTTACCTACATTTACTTATTCATCGTCTATGTAAGTGGTTAATTGAGAACAACTCCCTTCCCTCAAGATAAGTCCAGTAAGTAACAATTTTAAATGGATTTCAAATGTCCTAAGTTAGTGATCCTAGGATTGGATACATTTTAAGGACTTAGAAACTAAGTCTTCAATTTGTGATCTCTATCATAACCGCAGTTATATGCTATTACAAAATCATGTCTCATCAAACTGCTTTGTGCTTCACCTTAAGAGTATATTACTGATAGCTGTTTGAGGGATAACACTCACCACTTTTCTCTATCATCTTGTTCCTCTTCTTTTCAAGCACACTTACCTGGAATGATAGTTTCTGATGTGTTCCAAACTTGTTTAGTTGAATTCAGCACTAGATGCATATGCTCTCAGCATTTATATAATATTGTTTTTGAAGTCAAAATGTTTCATTTTCACTGTTCCTTTCTTTCTACTGTTGCCAGTTGGCCTGGAAGCCCTAATGCCGGTTCTGAGTTGTCAATTGCATAATTTATTGTTTTTACTACAGATTCAAATTTGTGTGGACCTGGTGATGCCTGTAGTATAACTACTTTACTGCTGTGCAGATTGGACAGGGAAGAATTCTTGTGGAGGGAAAAGATGTTGCACTACTTGGTTATGGGGTTATGGTCCAGAACTGTCTTAACGCTCAGGCTCTTCTTTCGAAGCTTGGAATTGAAGCAACTGTGGCCGATGCAAGATTCTGCAAGCCCCTTGACATTAAGCTTCTGAGACAGCTTTGTGAAAACCATGCCTTCTTGATCACAGTTGAAGAAGGCTCTATAGGGGGATTTGGATCACATGTGGCACAGTTTCTTTCTCTTGATGGACAGCTTGATGGGAGCACTAAGGTATTATCTTGCAAACGCTCATGTGCATCTTAGCTAGTTTGTGTGAAAGCGTGTGAGAAAAAGAGATTTCTCCATTTTTTTAAAGCTTATAGTGTGATATTGCAAATGGAGTAAATGTCATGTGTTCAAAATTTTTTAAACATGCATATATTGTGTGCATTTCCTTCTGGTGTCTAATTTTTACTGGATGAAATTTAGTGGCGACCAATCATTCTACCAGACAGTTACATAGAACATGCATCTCCAAATGAACAGCTTGCTCTTGCTGGACTGACCGGACATCACATTGCGGCCACAGCCTTAACTCTGCTTGGCCGTACCCGTGAAGCTCTCCTTCTCAAGTGCTAGGAATCTGTCAATATCTTCCTCTGTACAGATAGTAGAGGAACATATATATATATATATATACATACATACATATATTTATATATGTATATGAATTGAAAGTTGAGGTTTTGTGTGAAAGAAAGATTCTAACCACTGGTGAATCCTCCTTCCGGACTTATCGTTTGCATTATCAAATCTTACCGTTTTAATTTTTGGCAAGTTAATGAGTATAGCCAGAAACAGAAACATGTGTTTAGATTTAGTAGTGTAAATATATTCTGATATAATTAAATATTATAAATATTAATTTCATTAACCTAATTTTATAAATAAAATAAAAATATAAAATGTTTCATGAATTCGAGAATTTTATGATGTTTCCTTTCTTCATATATATATATATATATATATATATATATATATTTTGTTTTCTAATCTTTGATGGTGCATATTGAATAGAAGAAAATGAAGGAGGGGATGTTACATTTTGCGTGTATCGTTGATTTTATTTTTAGATGTTGTCTTTCTAAATTTTATTGTCTAATTTTCATTAGACACAATCTTATTAAATCATTAGACACTAATCTTATGTGTGTGTGTGTGTGTGTATACATACATATATATATATATATATATATATATGAGTAGACATTATATTGCTATCACATTGAGCCACACCAATATGTAGTAATTAATATTTTTTGAAGTTATATGATATTTTTATTTGTTTACATATATGAGAGAATATAAACCCGAATTTATGATTATTAGTGCATATATTCTATATAATATATTCAATTTTAAGATATTTAATAATATTTTTTTATTATATATTATAATTAATACTATTTAAATTTATATTATATATTTATTTTTTTACATAGAAGAATATATAATTTATCTATGTGGTCTGTATGATATATTTAATTATGAGATACTTAATGATGATTAAAAAAATTCTTTTAAATAACAACGTGTTAACTTATTTAATATATTTATTTATTTTTATAGAAGAAAGTGTATTTGTATATGATAATTTTCAAGGTAAACTTAATATTATAGTATTTATCATATATTTCAATAATTATACAAAATATAAAATTACGTGCATTTTAATAAACAGAAAACTAGTTTAATATGTTTAACGAAGTACGTAAGGTTTACCAAATTCTTAACGGCGCTGTGTTTCCTCGGGTCGGGTCCGGAACCCGGACATTCTTATCCAATAGCATACGTACACGTAAGCGAATTTTGGAGGGTCCACAATAAGCAGGAATGCGGACCCTCACAGAAAACCCGCTGCCTTAGTTTTTTTATTTTTTATTTTTTGAATGATTTGAATTATCTGTTTCTTTCCCTTCACAGCGCGCTCTCTCTGTCTGTCTACAAACAGAAAAGAAGGCCTCTCTTTATTTTGTTTTTTCTCCAACAATATGATATATAAATGGTCATTATAATATGCTAAAATAATCAGGGTGCACACTTTCTGGTTTTTAGGTAGAAGAAATTAGTCCCTCCCCCTCCTCCTCCTCCTCCTCACCGGAATCTGACCTCTCCGGCGACCTCCCTCCCTGCCCGGATTTTTCCTCCGGTGCTGGGGAGATTCACGCATTTTCCTTCTTCTTCCTGCTTCTCTCCCACTTCAATCCACAGGTCTGCTCTTCTTTTTCTTTCTTTCTTTCTACGCATATTTAGATATATATATATATATATATGTATATCTCTGTGTTCATCTTTTCGTTCTTTCTTTGTAAATCTAGATGTCACGCTCATTTAGTATTTTAATGTGCGCGAACCTTTGAAATGATGCTCCTGCGGTTGAGAATCTGTTTGGTTGTGGAAAAACCGAGGGACATTAGGAGAAACTAATGTGTCGAGGCAGGAACGTGTTATTTCGTTCTTGATTCTAATTTCAGATGATACATGTAAATTCGTCCTTCATTTTATTCTTCATTCTCGTTGCTTGTAATCGGTCACAGAAGGATCATTCTCTACGATTCTTCTCCGCCTGGAATGCGAGTTTGTTGTTTTGTTCCACAACCAGATCTTGAATGCGATTATCTTTTTTTTTTTTTTTTTCGTAGTTTGATGTTTCTAGCCTCTGTTCTATGATGTTAATTACAATTTTGGTTGGCGATGATGGACGATAAGTGCATTACATCTCACGCAAAGCTTGCATTTATTATATACGTTCTCGAACAATATGCCATTTACCTACTCTACATGCATGCATGCATACATATTTTACCATTATTTTCTCCGACAAGAATGTTTGGTTTTTGATTTGCTGTACAACTGTTTATTCATATACCAAAAACACCAGGTTTTTCTAAGTTATGGCTTCTGAAGTTATTCTAATGCTTTCATGTTCACTGTATCTCAAAATTTTAATTTAAAGATAAAGGCATTTGCATTATATTTTTCTATTAATTTTTTGTTTGGATGGTTCTTACTGTAATGTACCATATAGGTCTTAAATTAGAATCAGGTCACATGAATCCCATCTTCTTTCTCCGCTAGTTTGTCATGAGAATCTCAAAGACATTATCTGCTCACTGAAATCTGAATTAACGTTTCTGTCTTTTCACGTTTCTGTCTTTTCGTCTTCTTCTATATAGATGGAGATTATTTACAAGACTCTTCTAATTCATTTATTACATCTCAAGAAAGAGCCTTAATGTAGCATATCTAATCTCTGGACTTTCTATTCAGGGATGGAGAATATGAAAACTCCATTCATGGGGATAATCAAGGATGTCAAAGGGAGAAGCGCGTGCTACAAGCAAGACTGGGTAATTGCACTTTGCTCAGGCATTAGGTATAGTCTTGGTTGCTTTCAACAGCTTACAACGCTACTAATTCTGGGTCATAAAAGATTCAGCTTTTCTGATTTATTGCCCTTTAACGTCTTTCAGGATATTAGCTCCAACTATGTACATTTTCTTTGCCTCTGCTCTTCCTGTAGTAGCCTTCGGGGAGCAACTAAACAGAGAGACAGGTACATGGTTAGTTTATTTATTTCCTGTAATTGACAGAAGCTTTGGAAGCCAGCAACAATGAGGCTTAGAAATTGTTTCATTAGTAAATATGGATATTTAACATGTATTTTATTCTGAGTTGTGTTTGAATGAGCATGAAAATTCTGTTTGTTTATTCTAGACGGAAGCCTCAGCGCAGTGGAAACTTTAGCTTCTACTGCACTTTGCGGAGTCATCCACTCAATTTTTGGTGGACAACCTCTGCTGATATTAGGAGTTGCAGAACCCACAATCATAATGTACACTTATCTATACAATTTCAGCAAAGGAAGGCCAGAACTGGGAACAGGGCTCTATATAGCTTGGGCTGGATGGTATGGGAACAAATCTCCACTTAAAAATAAATACAAATTAATCATTCGATATTTTTAGCTCCCTAATTAGCATAGCTCTTGGATATTTATCCTCAGAATTTCGATTTGCAGGGTTTGTGTGTGGACGGCAATTTTTCTCTTCCTTCTTGCTATTTTTAATGCGTGCACCATAATCACTAGGTTTACTAGGATTGCAGGAGAACTTTTTGGAATGTTGATAACTGTCCTTTTCATGCAAGAGGCTATTAAGGTACTGCTTGATCAGCATGAATAACCAACACATACTTTAATAGTTATTGGAATGATGTGGTAAATTCTGATGATTGTTGCAATTATAGGGAGTGATCAGTGAATTTACTGTTCCTAAAGCGGAAAATCCTAACCTGGAAGAGTATCAATTTCATTGGCTATATACAAATGGGTTGCTTGCAATTATTTTCGCATTTGGTCTTGTATTCACTGCCATGAAGAGCAGAAGGGCGAGATCATGGAGATATGGCAGCAGTATGTGAAGTCTCTATATGTTGATCCTCTAATAAATAAATCATAAAAAGCTTTTCAGGCAATTAAATTTTTTACAGATGTGAGTAACATAATCTTCCTTCTATTAAATATTTACAGGGTGGTTTCGAGGTTTTGTTGCAGATTATGGGGTACCCCTTATGGTCTTGTTATGGACAGCATTGTCCTATGCTGTACCCAGCAAAGTCCCTGAAGGGGTTCCGAGGAGATTATTTTGCCCACTTCCCTGGGAATCTGCATCATTATACCATTGGAAAGTAATCAAGGTATCAAGAAAGCAATAATTTCATTATTTGTTTAGGTCCAACATCAACACCCCCATAAAATCTCCTTTCTTAAGCCACATCTATTGTGCATTACTTTTTTCTCCTTAGAATTATCGGATCCTATAATATAACTGCTCCCAGATCACAAAAGCACATTATCTCTTTGTGTGAAACAAGCGTGATGAAGATTTCTTCATTAACTGCATATTTCAATCTAAACTTGAAACAGCAATGACATTTCTTACATGTAAAATGGCAGGATATGAGTATGGTTCCAATATACTACATCCTTGCTGCCTCTATTCCAGCTGTAATGATAGCAGGTCTATACTTTTTTGACCATAGTGTGGCTTCAAAGATGGCACAACAAAAAGAGTTCAATCTAAAAAATCCACCTGCATACCATTATGATATCTTGTTACTGGGAGTTATGGTATATACTATTCTTTTGTACTGGTTTCTCTTCTTTGTAACTTGTGATCCATGGTTATATGGTTTATGCTCAGTTGCTGTTTCTTTATATCCAGACGCTGATTTGTGGGTTGCTTGGGCTTCCTCCTTCTAATGGGGTCCTTCCTCAATCCCCAATGCACACCAAGAGTCTTGCAGTTCTCAAGAGACAGGTCAGGTGCCATGGTCAGGGAATTTTTCTTACATCTTCCCTGCTAGTCTTGAA